CCTCAGTCTCTCAAAGTGCTGGGATTACAGACATGAGCCACTTTACCCAGCCTGAAGATGTTCTTTCTTTTTTTCTTTCTTCCTTTTCTTTTTGAGATGGAGTCTCCTTCTGTTGCCCAGGCTGGAGTGCAGTGGCACAATCTCAGCTCACTGCAACCTCCGCCTCCTGGGTTCAAGTGATTCTCCTGCCTCAGCCTCCCAAGTAGCTGGGACTACAGGCATGTGCCACCACGCCCAGCTAATTTTTGTATTTTTAGTAGAGACAAGGTTTCACCATATTGGCCAGTCTGGTCTCAAACTCCTGACCTTGTGATCCACCCACCTTGGCCTCACATAGTGCTGGGGTTACAGGTGTGTGCTACCATGCCCGGCCAGGATGTTCTTTCTAAATTATGTTACTTCTGGGCTCTTCATAAGGGTTATTATTCCCTTTCTGAAGATTTGTTTTGAGTAGCTTTTCATTCAGCTTTTCTTCTTATTTTAGTTTTTCTTAGGTGAATACACGTCTACTGAACATAAGCTATAATATGATGGTTCAGTGAATTGTACCTATATTTTATAGATATTTTTCTAATGGGCATAAGTCCCACGATTTTGTTTTCTAAAGCAATTAAAGTGATTTGACTCCTGATTTCCTTTGTTTTCTTACTGTGGTGAAATACACCTAACATAAAATTAACCATTTTAAAGTGTACAATTCAGTGGCATTTAGTACATACACAACGTTGTGTAGCCATCACTCTGGTTCCTTTTTATGTTTGTGTATAGCAGTGAAAAAACATGCACAGTCCCTCAAAGCCTTGTATGCACTGACAGAGCAAGCTTTTCATCAGTTTCAGAATTTATGCACTACCGCCAAAGTTAGTTTCATCCAGCAGCCAAGCAATTCATCGGTTGGGTTTTAAGTAACTGGTTTATTACAGCTTGTTGTCATACAGTAATTGCACTAAATAAGACCTCTAAAATTATTCATGCTGCTTTAATTTGGGAATGGGGGGAAACTCATTCCTACTAGAGATCCTAATTTTAGTATACATGCTGCTGAAGCGAGTACCCTACTAGAGATTCTTAAAATGTTAGAAGCAAATGCCTTCTTTTTTTTTTTTTTTTTTTTTTTTTGAGACGGAGTCTTGCTCTGTCGCCCAGGCTGAAGTGCAGTGGCCAGATCTCAGCTCACTACAAGCTCCGCCCCCCGGGTTTACGCCATTCTCCTGCCTCAGCCTCCCGAGTAGCTGGGACTACAGGCGCCCACCACCGCGCCCGGCTAATTTTTTGTATTTTTTAAAAATTTTTTTTAGTAGAGACGAGGTTTCACCATGTTAGCCAGGATGGTCTCGATCTCCTGACCTTGTGATCCGCCCACTTCAGCCTCCCAAAGTGCTGGGATTACAGGCTTGAGCCACCGCGCCCGGCTGCAAATGCCTTTTAAAAATTCTGCATAAAATGTTGCATGCTTATGTATTGCCCAGTCAACTCAACTATCAAATCATCTACAGAATTACTTCCTTTTCTTTGCCTTCTTAGGAAATCAGTCTTTCATGCACGAGATGACCCTGCATTGATTAACTGAGTTACAGTGAATGGTATGGCAGGAAAGAGACTAGGGCTAGTCAGTACTAGGATATTGACAATTTTCAGTTTACTGGCCAAGGCGGTTCTGAAACTTAATGCCTAGTTTATTTTTGGAAGTTTGTAAAATAATTGAGCTAGTGATGAAGTCATGAATTCTTTCCCAGGCTTCCTTAGGTGCCCTGGGGCCTTGTGTCCCCCAACCCGCCAAATGACTGGGAATTGACCTAGCTGTTTTGTCATATACATACATTTTTTCTACAATTCCTTTCCATCTTGGAACTGTTCCATTAGCATTTGTTCCTCATCTACATCATGTGGAACTGCACCTTTTTTGCTGGAAAAAAATGGAGTCCACACATTTAGTGTAAAGAAACCATAGCCTGGCTGTTCCCAGACCCCTTGAGGACTGCTCAGAGGTGGAATCCTCAACAAAGGAACTGCTGTTAAGCAAGAGAGAACATGTGTGTGTGGAGAAGCCTGCTATCTAGTGCCAGCAGCATTTTGTTCTCTAGACAGCTAAAATGTAAAGGAGTTTTTGCTGGAACATTTTTTAACATGTTTAGTGTCATGTAATAGAGTCTTTCAGTTTAGCCCAGGGACTTTTGTCCATTTTTCTGAGGACTAAGCAAGTCTCTGTCTTCCCCAAGAACAACCAGAAGTTGGTACCTATGGGGTTTGTTCACTGATGGTCCTGACCTTAAATCTAGTTGTTTTCTTCCAGGGAGCTCAGAGTGCCTTACTAGGGAGACTGCCGTCCTTCTTGCAGCAGATCGGCAATGACCCCATTGGATGGAGTGTATGCCATCTCACCTAGGGCAGACTCCTCAACCTTAGCACCACTGATATTTGGGCTGGATAATTCTTTGGCCTGCGCATTACTGCATATTGAGCAGCATCCCTAGCCTTACCCACTAGATGTCTGTAATATCTTCCCCAAATTGTGACAACCAAAAATTTCCCCAGACAGTGCCAAATGTTTCCTGAGGGCAGAATCACCTAAGGTTGAGAATCACTACCCTCTGATTTCTTCCAAAGGCAAGAGGAAGATTCCTGATTCTTAACCTAGCCACCTAACCTCAAAATATTTGTTCTTCCCCCAAGTCAGAACCTAGAAAAAGGATGTCTTTTCCACTGTAGTGTGCAGATAGAGCCCACATGTGTGGATGTACAGGACCAGGCAGAACTCTAACTCTGCATTTGGCTTTGGCTACCACTAGGGATGGGAAGTGATGAGCCAGCAGTGACCTCCTTACTACCTGCCCCTCTTGTTCCAAGTAAACAAACTTTTACAGCCTTTCTGTTAATGAGTCAGCTGGTAAAGAAAACAATCTCCTTTTCCAAAGCTATTCTGAAGCTGAGACATGGCAGCGTTTTGGACACATAAGTTCCTGTTTTACTGACCTTTTCTTCCTGGCGAATGAGGAAGGACACTAGTGCAGGCAGGAGTGCCAGCAAGGATTTGTGACTGTAGCAAGTAGTAGTTTTTTAAAACAATACATCCCAGATTTTTCCAGCAATGATCATTCAAAAGAACCAGTGTTCTCTACATCTTAAAGTAAAAAGTAAACTTCAATGTTAACAGAGGGTTATAAAATCATTGGCATAGCAGAAACCACAAATCAATCCTGACAGTGAAGTTTTGGCAGTGTGCTGGCCTTTGGAAACATCTGTTGGTGTGGCCTGTGATACTCAGGTATGAGGTACATCCTTAAAGCATTTAACTTGGAATGTGTGAACTATACAAATATTTGGAATTAATAAAATGCCATTGGAGTTTTAGAAGAGAAGGAGACCACAGGGACCTGCTTCTTTTGCCAGAAGATGAAGTTCAGAGAGGCAAAGGGCCAGAAGAGCGTCAAAAGACCTAGGTCTTTTGATTGCTCCAGTTAGAGTTATTTTTCTGTGGAACCACGCTGCCTCGTTATCTGGCTACTTGACTACAGCAATAAACTAAGCACAGAAAGGGAGTCCTAGAAACGGTGGAAAATGCCATAACAGGAAGGGGAAAGAGAACAGGACAGCTTAGCCTCCCCTAGAAATGCTATGGCTGGAGCTGTGGAAAGTGTGTCAGCATTGCAGGGTCAGGCCTTTTGTTTTCTTCTATACTCTGCTGAAACCTTCTGCTGTCAAAGAAGCCTTCCCAAATTGCCAGAGCAATGGCAAACATAGGATTTCCATTTATAATCCCCTCACTGAGAGGGTTCCCTCGAAGGTTTGCTTTAAACTCTCTGCTAATCTGCCAATCTCTTATTTGGAGAAAAACTACCAATCTTCTCTTGACAGCCTCAAGATAATCTATTCATAGTTTCCTTCCTCCATGGTAGATGCTAGGAACAAGATTACAAAAGAAAACCTTTCCGAACATTATAGCAAAGCCAATTGGGTTGCCATAGGGTTATTAATAACTTTGAATCCCACTGTGGACTAGGAATAGTAGGTCCCAGAGAAGAACAGCAGCCGTCAAGGAGAATTGTAGCTGGTGGTATGTGGTGCAGGTGGACGGGTGGGCCATTACTGCTGCAACTTGCCTAATTTATTGCAACTTGCCTAATTTACATCCATTAATATTTACATAAAAATTCATTTAAAAACTGGTGCCTTGTCAGTAAAACGCAATGAGATACACATAACATCATTAGGAATAATTAACTGGAGAGGGAAAAAAGCATTAGAAAGGGCTCTGGGATTGGAAGCACTGTGCATGCCCAGTGTGTCTTTGGGCCAAATGTAACGCCGGCCTGAGAAAAGAATGATCATCATGAAAATATTTTTTTTTCTTCCAAGTCAGGAAACAGACTCACAATGGAGTCTACTTCTCTGCTTGGAATTTTGAGATGTGCAGGAAACAACCAGCCATTACCAGCTGAGGTTTTCCTGCTGATAAATGAACCCTGAGGCCACAGTGACCTGTCTTATTAATGAGTTAATGAAGAAGCTGGTCCTCGCATTGACCTCATCCTTAAAAGCTTTCTGTAGAGCTGAAACAACATTCCTCTCATTTATGAGTTAACTCTTTTCTTACTCAGCAAATGAGAAACAAAAAACAGAAAAGAATCTGTGACAGAGAAGTAGAGTGTCTATCAATGGGCTTTTCTTTCTTAAGTTTTTTAAAACTTTAACTTCACTTGCAGAAAGAAATTTCATCCAAAAAATAGTTCCTCTTATTGCAGAACCTTAATAAAACTGGTTTTTCATTTATGTTCTATTTACCCTCAAGGCAATGACATTTATTGAAGAATTTTCCCCTCACTCTGACAAGAAACTTTTTGGAATAGAGCAACATAAGAGGTTTGAGTTTATGTAAATATTTTAGTGTGGAGGGAAATAAAGAGAAATTTTTACTTTGGTAAATAAGTGTTATTAACCAAGCATCTTATTAAAGGAAGCAGATCCTGTCTGTAGCTTACTAGAGAAAAGAAAGAACAATCTCCTTTAAATTGGGTTATATTTGAGTAACCAAAAATGAATTCTTCTTCCAAATTATTTCTTCTCTTAGTGATTGATTGTTGGTGATGTCCCATAATTTGAAGGAGGCTCCAGGGTTGTTGTCCATATCTCTGTTACAGGATCATCATAGGAACATTGAGGTTCTGGAAATGTGATTTTATCAGTTGATTAGGTTGTGGTTGATTCATGACAATCATAAGGCTGATGTTACATTTGTTTTAGAAAACTCAAATGCTTGCTTATTAACTTATAATTACTATTTCACTAACTAGAGGAGTTTGTCCTATTGAGGCATCCCAAAACTAGTATGAGAAAATCATAAAGAAACAAAACCAGAAAAATCATAAAAAGTAACAGGAAGATTTGTTTGGTAAGCAAAGCAAAGAAAATGGATTGAAGACATCTTCTCCATGTGCCATTTAAAGATTTTTAAGGAATCTTTGTCTTCCACTGTAAGATCCTTGGTATTAGTGGTTCATATCTAGAACAGCTTCTACCTGGTGAGTGCTAAAGGGCTCCTGTTAAGATGGTTCTCGAGTTGGCAGGCTGAAGACATGTCATATGTATGCCCCAAATCCCTAATATATTAGGTGTATGTCCTAGCAATGCTAGAAGAAAAGAAGCATCCTGAGAAGTCTAGAAATCTGAGGAATTCTTAAAGGGCAGAAGGCTGAGGGAATCAGATTAAAGGTGGAAGTCAGAGTCCAGAAGCCCTGCATATCCTGCCCTTCCCCTGTAACCAGTGGAGATTGGTGGTGGTGAAGTAATGCAGCATTTACACACCGAGAATCTAGACAGCCATGAGCAAGCACATAACAGTCACCAAACATTAGCGGGAAATCATCATCATAAAAGAAACACCAAACTGAAGAAACTGAAAAGCTCACATTGGAGGATCCTTATAAGTAGAACATAAAGAAGACTTTAAGAGAAGTGAATTTATCCCTGAAAGGGATAAAAAGAGAATGCTGCACTCATGAAATAAGAAAAAAGAATGATTTTTATTTCCTAGACCTTGGAAATAAAACATGATCCTTTAGTTAGAACCTTGTTAAAGGGTTGAGTAGCAGAACGGATACAACTAAAGGAAGTAAGTGAGCAGGATGAACGAGCCAAAGAATTGTCCTAGAATATAAAATAAGACAAAGAGATAGAAAGGCTGACAGAAAAGTGAATATAATAAGGAGGCTCATTTCAGAAGTTCCAGTGTTCATCTAGTAGGACTTCTAGGAGGAGACAGAGACAGTGGAGGAAGGAGCAAATAACCCAACGAAATAATGGGAGAAAATTTCCCAGAACGTAAGAAAAGCAAGAATTTGGGCCAGACGCGGTGGCTCAAGCCTGTAATCCCAGCACTTTGGGAGGCCGAGATGGCGGATCATGAGGTCAGGAGATCGAGACCATCCTGGCTAACACCGTGAAACCCTGTTTCTACTAAAAAAATACAAAAAACTAGCCGGGCGAGGTGGCGGGCGCCTGTAGCCCCAGCTACTCAGGAGGCTGAGGCAGGAGAATGGCGTAAACCCAGGAGGTGGAGCTTGCAGTGAGCTGAGATCCGGCCACTGCACTCTAGCCTGGGCGACAGAGCGAGACTCCGTCTCAAAAAAAATTTAAAAAAAAATAATAATAATTAAAAAAAAGAAAAGCAAGAATTTGTAGATTGAAAGAGACCACTGAGTGCCCACTGTGAAGTTATGAATTTAAGAAGACTCAAATTGTACACATATAATGGAAGCTTCCAGAGAGAGAAAACTGGCCAGCCTATAAAGTATCAAGGATCAAGCGGGCATCAGAGTCTTCTGGCAACACACAAGAGGATGATAAAATAACATATTCAGAGTTCTGAAACAGCACAGTCCAGAACCCAGGAGTCTGTACCCACAGAAGCTATCCCTTAGGTATTAAGGGCAAATGAAGACATTTTTCAGGTGTAAAGGAATTCAATTTCTCACTCATAATCCCTATTTTATAGAATTATCAAAGGGATGTTTTCCAGAAAAATGAAAGGGGGGGTCAAAAAGAATTGATGAGCAAAAAACCAGAAAATGCATTAGGTCAGTAACCGTCTGGAAGGTGAGCAGCTGCACGCTCTCAACAGCAGTGACATCTCTAGACACACGTAGAAACAGCCACCCAGAAGTTCTCATCCGTGCTGTGCTCTGATATCCATCGCAGTTGTCACCAGAAATCCAGTCCTCCAGATCATGCTCATCTTTAAGATGTCATCTGTATTCTGTCCTGAACATTCCCTGAATCGACCCCTCCCTATCCTCTCATTCTGTGTACACACTAGAACCCATTGGTTCCTTTCAGTTTCTGCTTCCTTGATGAATGATCCCTTTACCTTCTTGCCTTCTCTGAAATGGCCCAGTGGTTCCCTGGAAACACTGCCACCTGCCTCAGAAAAAGAGCCTCAGGCAGAGGCTCTTTTTTCTCCCATGCTTCACGTTCCCGAAGAGTGAGAGGTGAAGTAAATGTCTCCCTTGTAACCCATCATTGCTTACAAATTCTCTCTCTCCTGGATTTGCCATTGAGTTCAGTGGAAGTACAAAAGTATCCAAGCTAAGAAGGGTATGAGGAAATGAACAGAGAACAGAACCTTTGAAGTAAAAGTTGCAGCAGTTTCATTGGGTATGAGAGAATGCTGTGTGAATAAGTGGCTGAGCTGGGTGAAAGACAAAGTTGATTGGCTCTGAGAAGGTTGAAAAAATTGAGGCCAGGTTTGGATCATCTGTGGATGCTGAAGTCACTTGAAAGAGGAAAAAGGAAAACAAGAGCAAACCCCTCCCAAGCGCTGAAGTCGTCAGTCAGTGATACGGTTTGGATTAGTGTCCCACCCAAATCTCATGTCCAATTATAATCCCCAGTGTTAGAGGAGTTGCCTGGTGGGATCATGGGTGTGGACTTCCCCCTTGCTGTTTTCATGATAGTGAGTTCTCATGAGATTTGGTTGTTTAAAAGTGTGTGGCACCTCCCACTTCTGTCTCTTCCTCCTGTGCCACCCATGTAAGACGCGCTTGCCTCCCCTTCTGCCATGATTGAAAGTTTCTTGAGACCTTCCCAGCCATGCTTTCTGTACAACCTGCAGAACCATGAGGCAATTAAACTTCTTTTCTGTATAAATTATCCAGTCTCTGGTAGTTCTTGATAGCAGTGTGAGAACGGACTAATACAGTCAGTGACAGGGGATTGAGTGACTGGAGAAGTTAGTTGTGGCAGCAATAAGGAGGGGCAAAGGGCAGTAAAGCCTAATGGCCTGCGCCTCAAAGTTGCTCTGTGTTTGGCTAAGAAAAGAGGAGGGAGAGTTTGGAAGCAGCGACTCCACCATCCTTACAGTGCCAGTACCCGTGGATCCTGCCTGCCTTGTGGTACTGCCTGTGGCCACTGCTCCACCTTTGTGCCGGGCCTCACTCCCTCTCCCAGTGTCGTCATTCCTGCACTTAGTCCCTCTCACATTGCTGTCTTCTCCCTTTCAGCTGGATTATTCGCATCAGCGAGCAGATTCCACCGCCTCAGTAGGAAGTTCATTTCAACTGAGACAACATCCTTCAAAGGCTTAGAACAATGATGCATTCATAAATTTTTTTTAAAACTTGTGCATGTCAAAGACCGCCGTAAACAAAGACAGCAAACCAGAAGAAAACTATTTGCAACTCAGAGCCAAACAAGGTGCAGATTTCCATAAGATCCCCTGCAAATCAGTAAACATGGGAACTGTCCAGTTTTTAAAGGGCAAGGGACCAAAAGCTCGAAAGAAAGGAAATACAAATGACTCTTACACATTAGAAAAGATGCTTAAATTTTGCAAATAAAAAGACAAATTTAAATGACAAGGATGTGCCATTTTTCACCTATTGGCAGAAATCCTACAATAACACTGTTTTGACAAGGGTGTGGCTATCCATGTTTGTAGTGGCACAGGATTGCCATTGGCAGTCCAGCAGTAACCGCTGTTGAATAAATTATGGCTCTTCCCTACAATGGAATAACATGAAGCTTTAAGAGAATGAGGACATGTTTTCTGTGCTGATCAGGAATGATCCCTGAAATACGTAGTAGATAATTGAAAAAGCTAGGAGCGGAATAGTGAAGGGGCATACAGCCATTTAAGTTGTTAAAGAGGCATATATGCATTGTTGTATGTGCAGGAAAGGAAGAAGTGGAGGGCCTTCTCCTGGCTCAAGCCAAACTCTCTTTTCTGTTTTTGACCAGGTTGTGCTCAGGATCACTGCCTGTTCTTGCTGCTTACAATGTTCATCTCTCTCGTTTCCATACTGCTCCCTACCTACCTCTCATCACTGAGCTCTCAACTGTCCCTTCTCAGAGAGGCCTCCCCAAGCACTCTAGCTGCAGCACAACTTCCCTGCCCCCTTAACTCGTGTGCCTGCCAGGGTCTAGCATCTTCACACAGGTTCCTGTGCTACCTGTCTGCACCACAAGGATTCTGCTCCTTGAGGGCAAAGTGTCTTGTTCTCTGCTGTATTTCCACCTCCTAGAACAGTGTGTCTGGCTCAGAGAAAGTGCTCAGTGTTTGCTTAATAAAAACTAAAATCCTAAGTGATAGTGATTCTGATGATGGTGGGAGGAAAGAAGACAAGAAAAGGGCAGAGGGGCAGCTGCAATTTTTCCCCCACTTATTTGGGAGAGGCTTATATTAATTTCATTTAGATGATTTTCATCCCCTTCTAATTGTCTTCCCCCCAATTCTGTCATCATTTTGAAGTCAGTCATCTATTTTTTGTGTTAGATCAAGCCCCTACTATATCGTTGGTATTTTTTATTCTTGCTTGCAGAGCTTTATTTCCAAACACAAATGTAAGCTAAATATATGGAGATTTGTCACAAATGCTTATAGATCAAGTAGGAAATCAATTGAAGGGGAGATAGTCTATGAACTGTTAATGATTATGTATGCAGAAAATCTCTCTGGATGGACACATAAGAAACTGGTAACAGTGGTTGCCTTTGAGAAAAAATAATTTGGTGGGGAAGGAAACAGGTGGGAGATTTTTTTCAGTGGGTCCTTTTTTGATCATTTTGAATTTTGACCATGAGCATAAGCCAAATAAAGGTTTAAGTTCTTTTTCCCCCCTAAGGTTTAAGTTATTTTTTCCCCCCTAAGGGCAAAAGGGCACTGACAAGACATCTAACAAGTTACTGTGTCATGTTCTAATAGCTCAAACATGTAATTGTAAATCAAGATACCTGAGGGCATTTGAAGCCCAACCAGGAGGCAACTTACCACATTTATGAGCTGGCAAGACTAACCTGAAATAGAATGATCACAGGATTAGGTAGGTCCATGGACTGTAACCCACATGAAGAATAATTTTAGGGGTACATGAGCCATTTCTCTGCCTCCATACACATGCCCTTAGTCTATCAGTTGACCTGCCGAATAGATGTTTTGCTTTGTCTCCAGACTTTTCTTTTTCTTTTTTTCTTTTTTCTTTTCTTTTCTTTTCTTTTTTTTTTTTTTTTGAGGCAGAGTGTCTTGCTTTGTCATCCAGGCTGGAGTGCAGTGGTATGATCTCGGTTCACTGCAACCGCAACCTCCAGGGTTCAAACGATTCTTGTGCCTTAGCCTCCTAGGTAGCGGGGATTACAGGCATGTACCACCACACCTGACTAATTTTTGTGTTTTTAGTAGAGACTGGGTTTTGCCATGTTGGCCAGGCTGGTCCTGAACTCCTGACCTCCAGTTACCTGCCTCTGTCAGCCTCCCAAAGTGCTGGGATTACAGATGTGAGCCACTGCACCTGGCTTCTAGACTTCAATTTCACAAGGTTTAGCTTGTGCTTTGGTTTCTTCGTAAGTCTTGTCTTGACAGATTTCAACATGAATAGTAAAAGAGGGGCAAGGGGTTTATGCCTAAGTCACCTTTCTCCCTTCCTTCCTCCTTTATTCTGATAGAAACCTCCTCCACCCTCTGCACTGCCTCCAACTGATGGCTTCTGCTTGGTTCTAGGTCAGCTGGCCATCTAGTAGCCTATTTCTGGGGCTTGCATCCCAGGGAAGTGCAGATATTCTCTAGAGCACTTCGGGCTGGCCGGATTGTCTCGACAGGTGGGACTGTGCAGTTTTATCTTCATTAACCATCGTCTTTCCCGGTCCTTTTCACCCATTGTTTTAAAGGGTTTTGTTGTGATTAATTACAGAAGGGAAAAGAGGCAAACGTTTGCTTAGCTGCAGGGGGTAAGGTGCTGTGAGGAGGAGGCAAGTCAAGTCATGAATGTGTGGGAGGGGGTGGGGCTGGCAATGACTGGCCCTTGCAGATGATTGTGAGGTAGCTGGTATTTCCATACCTCTGTTGCACAAAGGCTCTGGCAGAACATTAATGATTAATAATGCTCACAGCCTCTCACAGAGTTACACTGGCCTCTCTGTGTCTCAGTCACTGAAGTAGAAAATGTGAAGGAGTGATATATCCAGGGTGGGGGCAGCCCACACAGCAGATGAATTAGGAGTGCAGCCCAGAAGTCTTGGCATCTTCATGCCTTGCTCTAACCACCATAACTTCCTTCCTTATTTTTGAATTGCTTGTGGAGAGAGCAAAAAAAGTAATGGGCTGTCTTAAAAACCAGAATGTGGTATGAAAGGCTTTACAGACTTCCTTCTTCATATTTTTTTACTTCCCTCTATTTCAAAAAATAACAACTTTCTGGTTTGATGACAATCTGTGGCATTTCAGGACTTCCCTTCCTAATTCTCATTTGACAGAGCCATTTCCTGGGATCAGCGTTGGCTCAGCAGCACAGCGTATATCTGAAAGGGGCATCCATCAAATATTTTTGTCTTTTAAAATTTAGCCTGCAGTAAGTATAATGGTTCTGCATTTGCTAAGATAGAGAATTGGCTTCTAAAAGCAAATAGTTTAAAGAAGAAATGCTGATCGTTTTGTTTCTTCAAATCTGTAACATTACTACTTTTTTCCTTGTTTGTTGACTTGGTAGCCATGCAAATAATTCTCCTCTGCCCATCGAAAGATGTCATTAAGCACATGAATAGGCCGAGCATGGTGGCTCATGCCTGTAATCCCAGCACTTTGGGAGGCCAAGGTGGGCAGATCATGAGGTCAGGAGATCGAGACCATCCTGGCTAACACGGTGAAACCCCATCTCTACTAAAAATACAAAAAATTAGCCAGGCGTGGCGGCCTGAGCCTGTAGTCCCAGCTACTCGGGAGGCTGAGGCAGGAGAATGGCGTGAACCTGGGAGGCGGAGCTTGCAGTGAGCTGAGATCGTGCCACTGCACTCCAGGCTGGGTGAGAGAGCGAGACTCCGTCTCCAAAAAAAAAAAAAAAATGTACATGAATAGGTTGGCTGGGCGCAGTGGCTCATGCCTGTAATCCCAGCACTTTGGGAGGCCAGAGCAGGCAGATCACCTGAGGTTAGGAGTTCGAGACCAGCCTGGCCAACATGGTGAAACCCCATCTCTACTAAAAATACAAAAATTAGCCAGGCATGGTGGCGGGCCTTTGTAATCCTAGCTACTCCAGAGGCTGAGGCAGGAGAATCACTTGAACGGGGAGGCGGAGGTTGCAGTGAGCCGAGATTGTGCCACTGCACTCCAGCCTGGGCGAAAGAGCGAGACTCTGTCTCAAAAAAAAAAAAAAAAAAAAAAAAAAAAAAAAAAAAAAGAACATGAATAGGCAAGCCACAGACAGAAAAAAAATTGTAAAATATATATCTGAAGTATGTTTATATAAATATATATATATAGAATTGTAAATATATAAAGAATTTATATATATTTATATATATAGATATATATAAATATATATAGAACTGACTTAGTAATAAAAAAATATAGCCAACCTTTTTTTTCCTCCTCCCCCAAGACAGGGTTTTCTTGCTCTGTTGCCCAGGCTGTGGTCTACTTCTAAGTTTTCATCTGAAAGAAATGAAAACATCTCTACAAAAGCTATACAAGCCTGATAGTGTAAAACTGGAAACAACCAGGTGTCCATCGATAGGAGAATGGATCAACAAAGTGTGGCAATAACAAGGAACAACCCATTATACACACAACATGGATGAACTCAAAAACATTGTGCTGCATGAAAGAAATCAGACACAAAAGAAAAAATACCCTATTATTCCATCTATATAAAGTTCAAAACAAGGTAGAACTTACCTATGATGATAAAAGTCAGAATAGTCATTGCTGGAGGGTGGGGAATTGACTGGGAAGGGAACTTCTGTGATGGTGGAAATGTTCTGTATTTTGACTGTGGAGGGGTATACATTTGCCAAAACTGATGGAAGATAAACAGTACCTTTAATCCGTGAGTTTCAGGCTGGGCATGGTGGTTTACGCCTGTAATTCCAGCACTTTGGGAGGCCAAGGTGAGAGGTTTGCTTGAGTCCAGGAGTTTGAGACCAGCCTGGGCAACATAACAAGACTCTGTCTCTACAAAAATAAAAATAAAAATTTTAAAAAATCTGTGCATTTCACTGTATGTAAGTTTTGATGCCAAGTCAAGGGAGGAGAGTACCCTGGGAAAGATGGAAATGACTGAGCCATTGGCCACTCATCCTTCTCCCCTGCTGTCAAGTCACGAATCCTGATGTGGAGAGAGGGACACAAACTGCATTTAGTCCCCATTGGAACAGGGCAGGTGCAGAAGCAAGCAGCACCTTGTGGCAGAGGAGGCCTGTCCTGAATAGCTGTGAAATAAGTCCCATTGCCCATTGAAGTATCCCTGGTGAATAAGGCTCACATTTTTTTTTTTTTTTTAAATAATTGGAATTTGCTTCATTTTATCATAAGGACTGGCCTGTCTGCCTCAGAGGCAGCCTTCAGAATAATAGCAAATTGTGCTACTTGGACTCAGTGTACTTGGGGATGTACAGTGGAACTTGATAATTAGTAAAATGAAAGACATTCTCATTTACAAGAGTTGTAAACTCTTCATGTCTAGTTAACAGCATACAGAATTACCAAGAAATAAATATGATTCTGCATCAGCTTTTCCAATGGAAAAGAGCAATAAATTGAGTGTTTTTTAGAGAGTTCAAAACCAGCTGTAGAAGAAAAACTTCTCCATCCTGGCCTTCCCTCTGTCCTAAAGCCAGACTTTCATCATTTGTTTTTGTTTTTGTTTTGAGACAGAGTTTCACTCTCATTGCCCAGGCTGGAGTGCACTGGTGCTATCTTGGTTCACTGCAACCTGCGCCTTCTGGGTTCAAGTGATTCTCCTGCTTCAGCCTCCCGAATAGCTGGGATTACAGGCATGTGCCACCACACCTGGCTAATTTTTTTGTATTTTTAGTAGAGACAGGGTTTCACCGTGTTGGTCAGGCTGGTCTTGAACTCCTGACCTCAAGTGATCCACCCGCCTTTGCCTACTCCCAAAGTGCTGGGATTATGCGCATGAGCCACCATCCCAGGCTGATCATTATTTTTGAAAACTAGCCTCAGGCTGTCTTAATGACTAGGTCCAGCTGACCTAAATTGAGTCCACAGCCTTGCCTGTTTCAGTTTATATCCAAGCCATAATGTGTGGATAATTACTGAAGTGGTCATGTGGGTCATTGAGGAATATCAGGAACTTAAACAGTGGCCTTCAACCCTTAGTGTGCTGCTAGTGAAATGCAAATACTGGGACCCTGTTCCCTGAGAATCTTGGGGTAAGGGAAGTAACCCTAGAGTTTGCATTTCTAATAACCTTTGGGGATTCTAAAGCAAGTGGTTCTTAGCACTGAAAAACACTAAAAAATATAGCAGGTGTTTGGGGGAGAAGGAGGAAAGAGGAATTCATTCTTGGTATTTATCAGGGACTGTCAGGGGCCATAGCTCCCCAAAAACGGGAACCATGCTTACTCTCTGTATCCCTGGCATCAGCATGGTTGCTAGTACTGAGTAAGAATGTAAGACATTTTGAGTGAGTAAATTAATTAAAACAAATGGATAAATGACCTACACATAGGATGCTATCAAATACAACTCTCTTCAGGTACTTTGATGTTATAAAAAGGATTGCACATGTAGAAAATCTTTATTATGAATAAATAAGAAACATGTTAAGTGACAACAGTAGCAGAGATAAAACAGCACATGTTCAAAATTAGGGAAGTCAGTGAGGCAGGAGGATTGCTTGAGCTCAGGTGTTCAGGGGTGCTGTGAGTTACGATCATGCCACTGCACTCCAGCCTGATTACAGTGAGACCTTGTCTCTTAAAAAAAGAAGCAGCAGCAGCCAAGAGACTGATATTGATTAAGTCAAATTGGTTATCAGGGATTTTTTTTTAACATCAAAATCATGCAGATGCATAATTTGAAAAGTCAGAATGTACTATACAATTGCCTGACTCAGTCCAGGGTCCACTTGCCAGGGGCATTCACTTTAAACTCTTAGCTGTTTCTTTTGGTATTTTTGTCCATATTGTAAAATTCTGTGCTTAGGTTGGTCATGGTGGTTCATGCCTGTAATCCCAGTGCTTTGAGAGGCTGGGGCAGGTGGATCACCTG